GCCAACATTTCGAGGCATATAAATAATTTTTGACCTGGAATTTTAAGTAAAAGTGTAAAAAAGTGTAGAAATAGTTCATATTTAACATTAACACCTCCAACACAAAGTCTTATTGTCATTTTTTGCTTTTTTATGTAATTTCCTACCAAAAAAAAAAAGAAGAATTCCCTATAAATGAAGCGTCGCCCTTTGGAGGACCACGTGGGGCTGTTACCTGCAGGGCAGACTTCACCTCCACACAGGTGTGAACCGGAGCAGTGACCCCTCTGTGACCTCCCCCCACCCGCTGTAACCCCGGACACCCTCCACCCCCACCTCCTCCTGCCTCCACAACACCGCACAGCAGCTTCAATTAAGGCTCACCTGAAAGAGGAAATTGCTCCAGGAGGTGTCCATCCTGCGGCTGGAGGAGAACCAGGAGGACCGAGGAGGGGCGGGAGGAGGAGGCGACGGAGCCCGGGAGGAGACGCTTCAAGTGCGGCTATGAAAACAGAATCTGCGGCCTGCGTGTCGCAGCTGTTAATTACTGATTAAATGTCCTGATTAGCTGAAATCAGCTGCACTCATTCAGCTGCTGAACTAAAGTGACAGTAAACAGGCGCTGACAGGAGGCTCCTGTAAATGCGACAAAATGGTTGGTATCATGCTTAATGGTTTAATGGTGCCTTTTAATTTTAATTTGCTTTTGTCTACTGTAATAAAAATCCAGTGAATTGCATGCAAAATAGAGATTATTTTATACAGAAGATGAAGCAGGAGCACTTCAAGAGGCTTTTATTTGCGATAGCTCCGAAAAGGCCGCAGGGTCGGGTTCCAAGCCTCGGCGTTGCGTACAGCTCGTCCCCGTACTAGAGCGCTCCCGGTCGGCCGCGGTCCACGGCTCCGCCTCGGCGTTTCCATCGACGGGATGACATCTTTCTCTTTTTTTTAAATTGGCTCCCTCTCTCGCCCTCCCTCCCTCTCCGCCTTTCTTCCTTTTCTTTTTTTATCTCTTCTTCACCCCCTCTGTCCCTCTCCGCTTTAAAGGGAAAGTATTCGGTGTGTGCTCCCTCCTAGCGGACCCGGTCTCGGCTCGTCTCCCGCCGCGCCGTCCCTCTCGCCCCCGCCGCCGCCGCCACTTCTCGGTAGGCCGACAAATAATGAAATCCGACATTTATAGAATCAGCTCGGCCGTTAATTCCAACGCTTCGCTCCGTAGAAAGAAAAATCCTGCTCTGCTCGTTGGAAACACACCCGGGGCCACTGATCCGGACCGTGTTCGCCTCGCCGCGCCGAACTCTTAGCTGCTAAAATGGTGTCGGGTTTAGCTAAAACAAGGCTTTATCCCCCGGAGCATCTTAAAGGTAACGATGCGCGCAAGTGCAACAGCTGGATCTAACCTCAATACGAGGGCGGCTCACCGGAGTCCGTTCAGGAAAAACCTAATTTAATGTTCGCTCGGTTGTCGCTGCAAGTCAGTGCAGATAATGAGCATTAAACCATTCAGTCAGTGTCACGCTTTAATTCGGCTTCCATTAAATATTAAAAAGCAATATTTTTGTGACTGAAAATATTTATTTTTAACTCATTTTTGAACAAATGCTAAGTAATGGATCAATACTAATGTGTATATGTACATATATTTTTTAGAATAAAGAAAAATCTAAATAGATTCAATAGATTTCCATTAGTGGTTCGTATTTTATTTTTTTTAATATCATAATTGAATCTTCCAGGTCGTTGTCCTGTTCAGTTTTTATTCATTTATTTACCGTTTATATTTATTTTATCATGTTTTTCCAAAAAGATTTTTTCCAGTTATTGTGTAGTTTTTTTTACTCTCTCTCTGTCTTTTTTTTTTAGTATTATATATTCCTTTTTGGATTTGATGTTATACGTTTTTATACTAGTTGTTTTCTTTTTTTTTTAAAAGTATTTTATATTTATTTTATTCTAAAGTTCTGTCCTGTTTAGTCTTTTTATTTTGCTTTTTTTTTTAATCAGTGTTACAGGTGGGTATAGTGTTGTTTCTTTTTTGCATTTTATTCTTATTTCATATTTGATCTTACAAGTCACTATCCTGTCGTTTTTTTTTTTTTTTAACCATTAAACTAATCTTGTTTTTTAAAAATAATTTTTCCAGTTTTTCTGCATTTTTTTTTGTTTTTATTTGGTATTTTATATTATTGTCTGGATATAATCTTGAGAGTTGTCAATATGTTCTGTCTAGTTCTTTAGTATTTTATACTTTATTTCAGAATTAGATTCTATCACTTTTTATCCAGTTGTCTTGTTTTTCAGATTTATATTTTATCTTACAAATCTACCTTACATGCAGCCATGAATTGTCTTATTTTTTAGTATTTTAGAATTATTTTGTAACCGTTCTGACTTGTTTTTACATGTTATTATTATGCCATATTTGTCGTTGCCTGTCTTAGAACACGTGCAGCACTTTGATCAGTTCCAGCTGTTTTAAAATGTGCCATATAAATAAAGTGGATTTAATAAAAGCAGCTCATGTATTTTAATATCAAAGTCTCTTCATGCATTCAAGGGAGAGAAATATGGATGATTAAATGGTTAACATGACTGATTCTGGAAAACATGATTTTAAAATACAAAACAAAAAGCTTGACACTATTCGTTGTTTTTCTTTTTATTGTATTTTGCAGCTGCTTTTACAGTAAATTCAAACCAACCAACCAAAGGAACCATCAAAGCTTTAAATTACAAGTCATTTCTTTTAAATATAACATCAGCCTTGGCTTTCACGTAGAGATATATATATATATCTATATACTTTATAATAATACATTCTAGGAAATAAGCTCCATGAAAAACAGTATTTGTTCACACACACACATTCTGCATGGACACTTGGCTTTACAGCAGCAGTCAGTGACTACAAACCACAAACGGTAATACTTGGTGAGACAAACGTATGACCTGCATAACTTCTTATCATTTCTATGTCCTCTAAAATAATAATAATAATCAAACCCCCTCTACCGCTAATAAACAACAGTGCTCAGTTCAAAAAAAGCTCCCAAATCCCTCCAGCTTCAATCACCGTTTAACACCAAAACATCAGCAGGAATCTTCAGAACAAACTACAACAACAGAAAAGAGAGAGAGAAAAAAAAAAGTGGCTCGGATGTGACGAGAGGAATATTTCAAGTTCTTGTCTTTAATAAGAACAAGAGGACGTCGTCTGCATTAACGGAGTGAAAGCTGCAGTTTGTTTGGTCGATTTCAGGGACACAGGTTCCAAAAAGATGAATAAAAACTAAACAAATAAGGAATAAAGGTGGATATTTTTGTTTAAGTATGTTTTTATGCTGACTGTCTGGATGCAGGAAATGAAGCAGGACGAGGTTTCTAGTAAGTCACCATTTATGAGGTGCTTTTAGATCAAACTTATGGTTTTAAAGGATCATTGTGCTTGTTTCAACCTGCTGGATCTCCAATTTAGGTGATTAATGCGCTATATTCTCCAACTCTTGCAAGTATTCATGTTCTAGTTACAGTGTGACACAGGTGAAGCGAATAGATGGAGCTGTAGATGTGAATAATAATAGATAAAAATGTCTTATTATAATATGGGTGTTTTTTTAAACAGTTGTTTTATAGGTTAGTTAGAAGCCGGTGGTTTGTCGGGTTTTGTTTGCTCCTCAATCCATCGAGAAAATCCTGGATTGTTTGAGCTTTTGGAAACGACATCCAGATGTTTATCGATGTGATTTATGCTCTCGGTTAATCATTTGGTCCGTAAAACTTCCAAAATAGCTTCAAAATGCTTTCCACATGTCCTGTTTTGTCCAAACATATTTAACTTTACATCATGTGAGACAAAAAGACGAGCAAGTTTTTAGCACATTTGGGGCATTTTTTCCTTGAAAATGCTAAAATAAAAAAGTTACAGATGATTTTTCTGTAGGTTGTCTAACGACTGATATATATATAACCAGGATCTGATTAATAACTGATCTGCAAAGAATTTTATCAGCACTGACTGAGGAATGAACAGTGCCGTATCAGAAGGAGTGAAGCTCAGAGAAGATTTCATAAATGTGTGACTCCTAAATGTACAGTAAACCGGGAGAAATCCCACCAAGAGCATCAAAACACTGTTGGCACTCGGTAAGATCAATAAACGTTGATCTTCCTTTTCTGAGACTGAAGCGACGCCTTCCAACAAATCTCTCTCTGTCAGATGTGTGAGAAACGTATTCTAAATATCCAGCTGTCATTTTTAGCGTCTGCCTCTTTTCTAAACGAATCTGATATCTGCGTCGGTTTGATTGTCGTCTTCTTGCGTCTCTTCAGGCAGCAGATGAATTAACAGCTGGCTAATAAAAACACGAGCAGCTTCACACACACAAAAAATGGATTTTTGGAAATAAAATGATGTGAAAACGCGGCGTCGGCCTGCTCACATCTTCTGAGCTCCTACACTTTACATTTTACAAGCAGACTGTTGATTTCACGTCAGGTTCAGACTTTCTGTGTCAAATTAAATCAGAATGAATCGGAATTAAGTCCTGCTGTTTAATTAGAAGTTGTGCACGATGTGTTATGTTGTGTCATGTTAGTTGGATTAAGGTTTTAAAAACCTACCAGGAACAACAGCTCTAAAACCAACATAGTATAAATCAAATTAATTATTAGCTACTTACAGGTCGAATTCGTCACAGTCTGGTCGTTAAAATGACAGAATGTTCATGTTGCACAGTTCACTGTGAAGCTGCAACCAGACACTGAAAGACATTTTTATTTTTTTTTGCCAATTAATCAATTATTAATCGACTGGTTGTTTCAGCTCTAATGGAAAATAACATTAATACAGACAAGTGAGGCATAAATGGACAAATCTGTGGCCTAAATGTAATAATAATAATACAGAAGAGTCACAAACTGGGACACTAACAGCCCATAAATGCAGCAGAACATCATGTCATATATGTGCTGCTGTTATTATTATTTCCTGACAGAAATCATCGCTGTTTGCTTGTAAAATGAATCAGAGCTCAGAAACATGAACGGTGAACTCTGGTAAACTCTCCTGCCCTTATGTGGAATTTTCTCATGTTTGGTCACAAATCGTCTTTTCTTTCTTTGACAAACTTCACGTCTTGTCAGCTCACATCAACCGTTTCCCCTTCAGAGCATCAGAATAAATAAAAAAAAAAAACACAACATGGTGGGTTTGCTGCCGTCCAGCCTCCTCCTGACCTCTCACTGCGTCTTGGCGCCCTTCTCTCGCTCGGCGGCGTCCATGGCGGCCATGTTCTGCGAGGCGGTGATGAGGTGCAGCAGACTGATGCCGGACTTGAGCAGGCAGATGGTTCCACAGAGTCCCTGCAGCCAGTAGAGCCACGCTGCAGCACAAACACAGCCAGCACAGTTGAACATTTACACGCTGACTCACCTTCTGTTTTACTAAATCGACTAATATTTTGCAACAGAGACGTGACATTTTCTGTAAAAATGTTGTGACAACAAAAGAAAAACAGGCCGGTTTCGTTTATTTTCTACACTAGAAACTTCAGTTTATGTTCCATCTGCTTCAGGCTTCTTCCATATTTTCCACTTTAAACTTTTCTAGGCTCAGATTTCCAGACCGCTCAATAGATTTTTTTTAACTGCATATCTGAGAACAAACAGTTTGATGTTTATTATGTAAATAAAAGGTTAAATAACTGCCAGAAGACTGAAGCTGATACAAACCAATGTACAGCAAACCCACACAAGTTCAACGCACTTTGTTCAAGCTGCAGAACATCTCTGCCCAACTCTTCCTTTATTATTTTCCCTCAACATAATGGTTAAAAAAACAGAGATTTCCTCAGATTAATGGGGCAGATGAAGGCAGTTTTTAACTAACCGCTATCTGCACCTCAACCTGCTGCCTGTTTTCAATCAGCTGAAGCTCCGACATGTTGTTTAGACGAAGAGGAAGCAGCTCCGTGGATGAACTCTTACCCGCAGGTTCCTCGATGTAATGCAGAAGGTAAAGCAGACAGAAGAAGAGTTCGTTTCCGGCGCACATCACGAACAGCACCGGCTGCAGGAGACACAAACTTCATTCAGTTGCTTTTACTTTCAATTTTACACGAACAGATTTAAAATGCGGCGCCCCAGCTGACCTTGGAGGTGTAGTAGATCCTGAGGACGGGGTTACCGGAGAGGTCGATGGTCTTGTGACTCGATGATCCTTTTATCGTAGAGCTGAAATAGAGGAGATGAAGCGTCTTTTAACCGCGGAGCCATTATGTCAGTGTTGCAGAATATCTGTGGTACCAACAAAGTTTTATTACAAAAGACTAAACCTCAGAGAATTTATGTCGATTCATGATTTAAAGTTTCAAATATAAAAATATGTACATATATAGGCAAATGTTCCGATTTGAGTCACAATTTTAACTGGAATATTAATTTTTGCATGAATCAAATATAAAAATTAAGTGGATTCATTTTGAGTAATTTTTTTTTTTCAACATATTTTTTAGGCTTTTGCCTTTTTGTAGAGCAGTAGAGAGACAGGGAAGGGGGGAGAAGAAAGGGGAGAGAACTAAAGCCCCTGTTCATGGGCCACCCGCTCAACTAGGTGATCTATAGGGGCGCCCATCTGAGTAATGTTTTACTTCATAAAGAGTCTAATCTTGATACTAACAAGGTGAAGTTAAGTAGGAGCTGTTTGTACCTTAACATGTTTCGACTGTCACTTCAGTCTTCCTCAGAAACATCACTGACGTCTGTGGTGACGTGTTTTTATCAGCTGGTGGTTTCCTGGAGGCGTGACCCACCTGGCAATCTGTCAGATTTACCCGACGGGCCGCGCCTCCTGCTGCCTGGTGGTCTCTGCAGGAGAGTGTCCCATGTGTGGGACAGCATGAATGCCCCCTCATCGTGGTTCATGGTGTCTTTGGCTTGCCTCCTGATTTCAATGACCTCCTTGATCCAGTGAAGATCATCACATCGGAGAGCAACAAATTTAAATGCAGGATCAAGGAGGCCATAGAAATCAGGAGTCGTGGCCCGTCGGGCAAATCTGACAGATTGCCAGGCGGGTCACGCCTCCAGGAAGCCACCAGCTGATAAAGACACGTCACCACAGATGTCAGTGACGTTTCTGAGGAAGACTGAAGTGACAGTCGAAACATGTCAAGGTACAAACAGCTCCTACTTAGAAATACTCATTGTCTGATATAAAAAGAAACCTTATACCTACAATCAGAGTAGACAAAATGAACCTAATCACGCTAAGGCGTAAAGCTACGGTTACATTTTTGGTATTAAAGGAGCAAAAACATGAGGACAATAATGGAATATAATCATTCTTCACTAGCAAAACAGTCTCCGGCCAACATAACAGAGTACTTTTTTGATTTAAAATGCTAATATGGAAGCATTAATGAAGCACAAAACTGATTAAGTCATAATAATTATTAAAATAATATAGACAGAACACCTTAAAGTAACATGAACATTTTAAGATATTAAATTATTTCATGAATACCAGAATACAAAGCTGAATTTCTTTGTTCTCTAAGCGCCAAACTCTCCCATTTGATTTACAGTAATAAAGTAAAAATCATGCTTTTAATTGGAACTGAAACAGTTCGTCAACTATTAAATTGTTGACCATTCTCTGATTGCTGTCAATGTGAATATTTTCTTTCCTCCTCTATGACAGCAAACTGAATATCTTTGGACAAAACCAGGACATTTGAGGAAACACTGATCCACATTTTCAACATTTTAAAGACCAACCAGCTGATTAATTCATCCAGAAAATAAATGAGAGATTAATCAATGATAAAAAAAACTCATCAGTTGCAGTTTTACCAGGTTAGAAACAGTGCCTTTCAGCTGGTCAGTCAGAGCGATATCAGATTAAAATGATTCACTATTTTTTAAAGCTGCCAGTTGAATAATCTTACATTAAAGAAAATTAGTAGTTTGAGCAATTTTTCAAACAAATATGCAACAAAAAGTTCAAGATTTTTGTCACATTTGAAAGTGAATGAAAAGAAAACAGCAGGTTGGACTTCAAATGCTGTCAAAGACCAAGACTCTGAAACAGTCTGATCTCGTTTCCTTTCATCACCACAGAGCAGAAAATCAGATCTGCCTCGCCCTCCTCATGACGCTCACATGAACGTTCATCTGGAGGGTTCACTGACTCAATGCTGGAGAGAAGCTCCTCCTGCAGCCCGACGAAGCCAAACACTCACCTGTGCAGGTGGAGCCAGTGGCTGGCGATGTCCAGACACATGCTGATCTGGAACAGGAAGGTGTATGAAGGGTAGAGCAGCGACAGGTTGACCAGCAGACACATGGTGGCACATCGATCCGTCAGCATGTCCATCATCGCTCCAAACTTAGTGGCTGATAGAAAATAGAAAAGTCCTGTCAGGTCAGTCTGAGGGAAAAACACGCCCTGTGGAGGTTCATTAATCATCAATCTGAAGCCTTATCTTATAAAATCAAGTCTTCAGAGTTCAACACAAAATGATGAAAACACTGAAATTGTACAAATATTCATGTTAATGCCTCCATTAATTTGAAAACATAAAAAATTGTTAGCAGGAGTGTTTTAATGTCTCCTTTAGTCACATGAAACAAATAAAATCATCAAACCGCCACACTGAAGACATTTCTAGATTTTATCATTTTATTGTCTTTCTAATCTTCTTCATCCGTTGTGTGAAACACTAAAGCTACGGCACAAATAAAGTTTGACCCGAAAAGATGAAAACTGCAAATATTAAATATGATCTTTGTTTAAATAAACAATAAAAACAAAGATTTTACTGTGAAGAAGCCGAAAATAGCAGCACAACAACATTCTGTTAATCAGCTGCAGCTCAGTTCAGTCAGTACTGATGAAAAATTATGACTAAATTGTTGTTATTATGATTTAATCCTGATCCTGGAACAACAAGTTTCCAATAAATCATGACTAACGAAGCAAAAACTGGAGAAAATTCTTTAAATTCAGTGTTCTTATGATTTTTATTCCTTTTTATCGTTCGGCTTGGTTTAATCTCCTCAGTAAAACCAGAAAAAAAAAAATCAACAGTCGACTACATTCCTTAAATTGGGCACTTTTTGAATAGAGTCTGGTGTGAGCGTCTTCCAGCAGCATCTATTCTAATGTACTGGAGGCTAAACTAAGCTCACTGTATGTTAGTGGAGATGCTAAAAACTTACTGATTAAATTAGGAAAGAAATGGAAAATGTTGCTCAGTGCTATAATCAAATTTTTCACGCTCAAACAAAGAAAGGCCAGATATAACCACATTTCCTAAATTTGTCGCTTTATGAATGGAGTCTGGTTTGAGTGTTTGCAGTCAGTACATGGGACTATTAGGTACGTGTTCCTACTTGAAAGACCCATACCAAAAAACTTCAGTACAAATAACTGAACCCTGACACACCGAGTACTGTTACTGGACCTGATGGAACCAAACCAGTTGACCCAGTTAATTATTCAGAAAGAAGTAATAAAACCAATAAAACCTGCAAATACGCACACTGGTTGAGGGCTCGGGCAGCGTGGCCATCGAAGGCGTCTAGCAGAGCGCTGAGCAGGTAGCAGAAGACGGCGGGCCATGGACAGCAGGGCATCAGGTAGAAGGCCAGCAGGGCCAGAACCACACGGGCGTAACCTGAACCGACAGAACCGGTCAGAAACACAACATCAGCATCACAACATCATCAAGAAAAAAATTACATGACATGAGAATATATGCAGCGCCTGATAGAAAAGCAATATAATTTACACATGAAACATTAAAAAAAAATAACTAAAAATATGCTAAAGTATTTCTGTTTTCTCTATTTCTACTTTATAAAGTTTCACATTTTGTAGTTTTAACTACACTCCATTGATTTGACAGTTATAGCATCTAGTTTTATGTATATAAAAAAACCTAAGATTTTACAATCAAAAACCTTAAAAGGAATTTTAAGAAAATATCTTTTTCATTTTTCAGTTAAATTTCCTGATAAGGTTTTTATGTAAAATCCTAATCATCTGTCATTATCGACTAACCTGCTGATTAATTCTTGGACAGTTTACTCTGAAATGTTTAAATGTACTTGAAAATGAATCACAACTTCATTTAAATGTCGAATTTTGTTCAATCAAACTCTCAAAATCTTCATTTTACAATAGCATATGGCAAATAAAACATCTGAGAGGCTGAAATCATAGAATATTTTAATTTCTTTTTACTGTTTCTGCCTGGAAAACGACTGAAACACGCAGATCTGTAGATGTTTTCATTTTTCAGCGATTTCAGAGGCCTGAAAGTTTCCATTAAATCGAAACTAACGAAACAAAAACTGAGTTAAACGCATAAATTCAGTGTTATTCTAATGATTCATATCTCGTGTATCTGTCGGCTTGGTTTAATTTGCACAGTTGGTTATTTTTTCCAGTCTAAACCAGAAATTACGACAGTTGCGACATTCCCTAAATGTGACACTTTTTGAATGCAGTCTGGTCTGAGCGTCTCTCAGCAGCATCCACTCTAACGTACGGAAGGCTAAAGCTAAGCTAGCTACATGTCAGAGCGGAGACGATAAAAACTCACCTATTAAATTAGGAACGAAGAGGAAAATGTTCTCCTGCGCCATGACGGAGTGCGGAGCGTGTTCTGGTCGAACCGGGTCGGTTTGCTGGATGTATTACCGGGGTTATACGAAGGAGAAACTCGGCAGTTCGTTTCAATTCGGTTAAAACGATGATTTCCTCCGAGCGGCGGCGCTTCTTCTTCTTTGGCTGAGATTTACGGCAGACTGGAGTCAGTAGCGGCAGTCTGCTGCCCTCCGCAGGCCAATTGGAGAATTACATCAACACAGTTAAATCCTTACGTAGAGTACACTGTAAAAACAACGACTGTGATTTGCAGATTTTTTCGTTTAGTTACATTTTTTCCCCGATATATAAAATTACAGACAATAACTAACTAATAAGCAACAAAAAAGGGGCTAAAACTGTGTCATTTGTTGTTTTAATGCTAAAATCACACTGTTCAACCGTTTTTAAATCAGCTACAAATAGTATTTTACATATATTTGCCATTATTTGAAAAAAACAACAACTTATGAATATTAGGAAAAAATAAAATTGAAAAAAATTAACATAAGAATTTAGGCCAAAACTGTAAATCAGTAAATCTATAAATGATAATTCCTTCTTTAACGATTGCAAACTTCCATTAATTTTACAGTGTTTAAATCTGCTATCATCTGCTATGAAATATCATAATTTTACACATATTTGCTGTTATTATCACCATTTTAAAACGTTTTAGGATTACACCATTTTTTACAGATTTGTATTTTTTACAGTGCACATCAGTGTACATCAGTGTAAGGCTGCTAAAATTCAATGATTCTGTCCCAAAGCTGAGTTTAATAAACCTTTTTTTTTTTTAACCCACAAATGTTAACAAAGCCCAGAAAGAATAAAAACGCAGCAACACTTCTGTTTTTGTTCTTTTATTTCTCCAAAATTATTTTGTTACGTTTCTGTACAACTCGTTTTTTTCAACGCTCCGAACCTGAAACATTTTAAACTCCTGCTGCAAAAAACACGTCCGAGACTCACAACCTGCACACAAACACTGACTCTCACTACAGCAGAATCCTCCATCATCATCATCACCACCATCATCATCATCATCACAGCTGCTCCAGTCAGTTTCTACCTGCTGGCCACAAACAACATCATCATTCAGGGTTTTGTTTTTGTTTGTTTATAAAACTGCACCATGTGAACCTGAACAGAAACCAGCTAATATCGAATTACAAGAACAGTTTTGGGAAATTTTCTCGTTTGCCGTCGACTCCTGAAACATTTGTAACAAACATCTTTGAACGGCGTCATTTCTCAGATGTCCGACTGTCCTTGAACGCACCACAAACGGACACTTGCAGAACATTTTTCGCTCTCAAATGACAAAAATGTGAAAAATTAGTGAACCAGAGCTGAAAATATTAGTCAAACAATGACATTCACAGCTAAGAGAAGTATTTTCGTCAGTCAAGCAGTTTTAGTCATTTTTCAAGCTTTAAATCCAAAAAACTTGCAGCTTTGATTGTTTTTTTTTTGGACATTTTAAACTGAATATCCAAGGCTCCAGCTATTGATTATTTTTATTATCTGATCGATTAGCAGATTCTTTAATTACTGGATTGTTGTGACTATAAAATATTATTTTTTCCACATCTAAATTGGCATTTGTTCATACAAAAGAGCAGCATCATAAAATAACAAAAATAAAACTTCATGGAAGTGTCATGAAATGAAAGGAACTGTGGAAGAAAACGCAACTATGAAATGAAAATAGGCCTCGAAAACACTGCTTTCGTCCAAAAAAAAATACAACAAAGTGGAAAAAAACCCCACATTTTTGCATTGTTTATATTTTTAACTATATGCTTAATTATGAATGTTTAGTTTTTAAAAATAATACTACTAATATGGGCACTGTTTGAATTCCGTACTTGCAATAACAGTGAGACTCTTTGTTGTAAAATAAAAACAAAGAAAATCAATTTTGTGAGATATCAAGAAAGAAAATTCTTACATTAGAGATGTGAACAGGAGAATATTTGATATTTCTGCTTGAAAAATGACTTAAATGAAGAATTATTTGAGCTCTGAATATCAAAACATCGCTTTGAACCGACATTTTTCACAGTTTTCTGACATTTTTTTTCCCCCCATTAACTCTGGAGAAGGCGGCAAACATGAACATTTCCCAAAACACAGAAAACTGCTCACAATCTATTACAAAAGTGTTTCAGAAAGTAGAAATAAAGTGTGACTTTAACTTCCAGAGTGCAGCTTTAATTGGCAAAAAAAAAAAATAACACTTAAGGAATGGTCAGCATTTCAACATAAAATATTTAAAAAGAGAAAAATCAAAGTTGGCAAAATGAAATCTCACGTGTTGAACAGTTCATCCACCGGCCAGCAGATTCCCAACAAACGCTTCCACCATCTACAGTCAGTTTGTTTGTCGACTTGTTTCCACCCACTGTTTGTCTTTAAAGTCCAGCATGTCAGCGGAGAGAAATCAGAAACTAAAATCTGTACAGCTTCCACTCCGAACACCGTCAGTTCATCCTCCTGCTCTCATTCATCATCTCTTTTGTCCACATTTGCACAAAAATGAGAAGGAAACAAAAAGAAAAAGCCAAGAAAACATATGTTGTTGTTGTTGTTTTTTTTCCTTTAAAATCCACCCAAACATTCTTCTACTATCAGTGCAAATGAGGTAGACATGACAACTAAAGACAGCATCCGATTGCGCGGAGGTCGGTGATTTTCTACCCATTCGGACTGTGCAAATCAAAACACAGAGTGGAGTTCGTGTACGGAGTCCCAAAGAGGCCAATATTACACCAACACTAAAGCAACTGCAGGAAAAAATAATCATACGAACAAACTGCGCAAAACTCAAGACGTGAAACAATTTGTAGATTTAAAATCAACTCATTACTGCGAAATATTAAATTATATTGTTTCTAATATAATGTTACTATGTAATGATGGCTTTTTTGGGTCACTTTTAAGTACCTGTTGCAGGAAATCTGGAATAAGCGTTCTGACTAGCCACAGTTGTTTACTTCTAATGTGAAATTTAGTCACGTTTCATTAAAGTTTTTAAATGTCCTGTCACTTTTATGTAACATTTTCCATTTTCTAACATCCAATTTTGTCAATTTTGACTCGTAGAATTTTTTGAAAATTTCCTGTACCTCAATTTTTACGACTTAAATTTCAAACTTCCAGCTCATTGTGTTATTATTTTATGTCACTTTTCATGACCGACATCAGACAAAAAGAAACGATAAAATAAAGGGGACTACAACGCTGTAACAAAAATAAAAACAGTCGTAAAAAAAAAACCAACAAAAAATATAAATTGAATTGCTGCTGTGAAAATAATCATAAAATAATATTTCATTCTAATGAGTTGATTTTTAACAATTTCGTAAATTATTTCTTGGAGTTTCGGTGGAACTTACACAATTTATTCATCTGATTATTTTCTCCAATACTGAACACTTTTTGGGCTCCATATTTTGCAGGTTACAGTGTTTTTTGTTTTTTTTTGGGAGGGGGGAAAGTCCTTCGCACATTAAAGAGTGCGAAATTATAAAATCAAAATAATAAAAACATGGCACCAAATGTAGTGAAAGAATCCGGAAATGTCGACTCCACGTTTTAATACTGGCTCAAAAATAAAAAATAAAAACGCAGCCCTGCCCAGAACTGGAGACTCCCACCCTGAGACCTCGACAGGAATGCTGGGAAAGGTAGTCCTTTTTTTTGTCCTCCTTAGAAACATTAATATGTTTTTAAATTTTTTTTTTTTATAGCTCTATCACAGTAACATTGCGCTTATTCCCCCACCTAGTGGTCAAAATTGGCAATTACAATTTTAAAAACTTAAAAATTAGCATTACAACATAAATATTCCAACCGCAGTAGTAGTAATAATAATGATAGCTTCTATTTGTCTGCATCTAGTACAAATCGGCTTAACTCACGTGACAAAATAATCATTATTATTACTCTAACACAGTCTCAGAGTTAGTGCTTCTATGTACACTGGTAAGTACAATGCAAGTCAAAGTGTTTGGACAGTGAACAATCTTCAGTATTATACCTGCTACATTTACAGGTATCTTACATTTATATGCATTTATATAAATAAGTAGTGTGCATGTTTATTCATACAAATGCCGCCTGTACACGAGTTCCATGCACTGAGTTGTACTAATTTGTAATAATGCACATCTTATCTACAGATGCAGACTTGTGGGGAAAACGGGTGATTTCTAAGCTGCACACACACACACACTCACAAACACTCAAACACACGTTCAGATCGCAGATTTTAGTGCTAAAACACTCTGTGGCAGCATCCGGTCGAAGGAACGTCGGGGGAGGTTTGTGATTTATCGCAGTCAGACGGTGACTTCAGCGCGGACTCGGGTTAGCTTAGCATGAAAACAGTTAAAAATGTTAAAATCATCTCCCAACAGCTTCGAATCTCTTTTGTTTTTTTTTACATCAATCTGCTCTTACGCACAACTTAAACAAGAAGTTTCTCAATTTTCTCTCAACTGAAATAATTTTGCAAAAAAATGCGATGTAAAATTCTGAATATTTGTGTTTAAAATGAAAATAAATGCAGAACTAGACGACAAATTGGTGGGAAACTGTTCTTCTATCACATCAACAAAACGTGCTGCAGCTTTAAGTCTAAATAAAGTAACCAGACAGGACTAAATACGTCCCTAAAAAAAAAGATTTGATGACAAAATTATTGTAAATTGTGAAGATTATTCTCAGTCATCCAGGTTATGGTAATTCTTGTAGATTAATCATAGCAACTGGACTTGCTTGAGTTCCTTGAAGAAACATGTTTGTGATCCTTCACAAACAAACAGAATCCATTAGAAAATACACAAAACTAAAAGAGAAAACTCTGCTGGTACATCCCATAATATTGATGCCAAAGTGGGTCGGAGATTTTTCTTACAGAAACCAGATTTAGCCTTTTAGAACTCAGATGGTCGAAACCAACAGTTTGTCCACTTTCGAGTTTTTACACTATTCTGGTAGTTCAATCGTAGCAACTGGACTTGCTTGAGTTCCTTGAAGACGTTTCGGTTTCAGTCCACAATTCAGTCCTAAGATCTCTCCCCAGGAAGATGAAACCACATTCACACCTATAGCCACAAAAGACCCTAATGAACCCCGTTGTGGCAGCGGGAGCACTAACGACTAACATAACGAGTGGGAGGAGCAACAAACTTCCAATTGAAACCAACACTCAGGTGGTAATGGATCCTTAAGGATATCAGTATCTGGAACTCCCAACTAGTCTGTCAGAAGTGATGAAGCCTCTTGGATGAGAGGTGGAACGTCTTCAAGGAACTCAAACAAGTCCAGTTGCTACGATTCATCCACCAGAATATTGTAAAAACTCCATTTATATCAGTATCTTTTTAGGAAATGAACAACCTGTCGGTTTCTACCATCTGAGTTCTAAAACGCTAAATCTGGGTTCTGTAAGAAAAATCTCTGACCCACGTTGGCATCAATATTATGGGATGTACCAGCAGAGTTTTCTCTTTTAGTTTCGTGTATTTTCTAATGGATTATGTTTGTTTGTGAAGGATCACAAACATGTTTCTAGTCAACACATCTTTTCCATTAATTTAATAGTTTTTCCATCACAAAGGCTTCAATCAGGTATTGAAAGTATTTGAACCTCAACTGTGATGTTTTTGGTGCCTTAACTTGTAAAAGCTGTTATTAATTGTGAAAGTGTGATACTGTAGTAAACACAACCAGTGAGCAAAAACTGAAAGAGTTCAAATGAAGCTGAAGTCTAAGAACAAGCAGCGTTCTTCTAGTTGTATATAAATGTCATGTTTGGTGGGCTGCTGCTGCTGCCTTCCCACTCACAGTTTGTCTCCGCACACAGATCTCGTCCATGTGAAGCTGTTGGAAGCTGCTTTTAGCATCAGCGCTAAGCTAAATAAAACTCGGAGCTACTTCTGTCGTGAACTCGTCGATTGAATCTAATTCTGACTGTAAACGCTCCCAAAGTTTCCAACGGTTCCTTTAAGAAGATCAGAGGGCAGTGGTAGAGTTTCTCTGCAGCCCAACAGAAAGATGGCAGTGTGTGTGTTGTTTTTTTTTTATTGTCATATACAGAATCTTATCACTACGAGTAAAAGAATTGTGTTTTCAAGAAATCTTCCCTTGGTCGACTCCTCCCCCTCCCCTCCCCCCCCAGCTATGAAACACTCAGAAATCAAAAACCGGGTTTACAATTTTAGCGTTATTTACATAGTTACAGTGGTTTTTAAAGCACCGCTAGCCAAGTGGAAGCTCCACAACTGTCGCTCAGTTCGATACAAAACAAAAGAAAAAAGAAACCTGCTGCGACTCTGAACACCTGATCCGACAGGCGAGTCCGTCTAAACCCTCAACACTGTGCAATGGAGGCTACAAAGCAAACAAGTTTTTGTTTTTTTGTTTTTTTCCCCCCGGATGGTTCGACTTGTTCACTTCGCAACACATGGCTCATTTTCACGTCTTATTTTTTTCTGATTATATCTCTGCTCCTGTGCAACTCAGGGTTTTAAAACACTCCTGCTATGGCAAGCCGCTTTGACATTTAATAGCTGAAGTTGATGTCGGAGCTAAAATGACAACATCAGCCTGACCGGCCGAAACAATACGGAGATGCTTGTAGTTCGGTTTTGGCTGAAAACGCAACAGCACTGACATCCCTCAACAGATGGTTTAACGTCATTGCGAGCTGTTAGCTAAGTGTGACTATCTTTAAAATACAGACATTAACAATGTCATTCTGACCAGTGAAACTACAGCCAGAGACAAAATAATCACACCACTCATCAGAAACTTGCATTGCACTCTCGACATCCCTCGCCAGGCGCTAAGTTTTAAAATGACCCACATCTGCAGCGTTACTTTAGATACTGGACTGTGATTAGTCAGAGGCTGATTCCAGATATCTGTAGCATCATTCTGACTATTCAAAACGACATCTGAAAATATCCGTGACTCAGTTTTGAACAGTCAAAATGACAGAAACCAGTTATCGCACAATGCAGTCCCTCAAATCAGCATCACTCCGGCTGGTTGTTAACAAATTTAAAACACCTCCCTTCAATTAGTTCAACCTTAATGTAAGATATCTAAAAACCTCATTTAGGATATCTAAATTAAGTTTATTCAGGATGTTTAAAATTGTGAAGCAGATTATGACGAGACAGATAATTACAATTCGTCATACTTTAGCTGCAGATGATCTCTTTGACGAACTGAATTAGACATTTGCAGCTATTAAATGTGAAGCTGACTTGCCATACACCGCTGCAGCCCTGAAGGCGTCCTCTCTTTCTTTTCCTGCAGCTGAACATCCCTGCACACTTCCAGCAAGGAGATCTTAAAACATACGCTTAAAATAAGGGTATTTGTGTGTGTTTTTCAAAGAATGAAATTATTCACGTTTTAAAATCTAAAAAGTAAAAACTAACCGCTCCCTCCTTCCCTCCCTCTCTGAACTGCTCCTGTATTGGAATCAGCTCGTAGCCCTGTAGTTTCCTCAGTGAAGGAGGCCTTCAGGAGTAGGAGAGGTGGGATCCGTTGGAGATGTGGGAGGTGACCGATGTGCTCCGGCTCAAACCGCCGTCGCTGCCGCCGCCCGGACCGCCGGACGCCGTCCTCCTCAGCGGCTGGGGGCTGTTCCTGAGCGCCATCAGGCTGGGACCCCGGACACTCAGGCCGCCGCCGCCGTAGCCTCCCTGTGATGACGACGACGAGGAGGCGGAGGAGGGAGGGGAGGAAGAGGAGAGGGAGATGGGGGGAGGCGGCGGCGGGGGAGGCAGCAGAGCCAGGGACTGGGAGGAGGCGTGGGAGGAGAGGTGATGGTGGTGGCCCTGGGAGTGATGGGAGTAGTGGCCTCCTCCGCCCACCCACTCTCGGGCCCGCTCGCGCTCCCTGGAGTCGTGGGAGTCGCGGTAGAGCTGCGGAGTGCTCTGGTGGTGCTGGTAGTGCTGGGGGAGGTAGTGCTGCTGGTGGTGGGAGGACGAGGAGGACGAGGAGGACGAGGAAGAGTGAACCCTGCCGGTCTTAATCAGCTCACTGTCCCTGCCGAGGCCGTGGGAGGAGGCGATGGACTCGGCCCGGCTGAAGCCGCCGCCACCGTGGTTCTGACTGCGCCAGGACGGAGTCGCCACCGAGTTCTGTACACTGTGGCTCCAGTGGCTGCCGGATCGCGGGACGGGTCTCGACGGCCAGCCGCTGGAGCCCGAGGACGGGCTGGGGGTCGGATAGCCCTGGTTGAAGGCCTCGGCCGGGATGCCGGACAGCGCCATGTTGCTGAAGCCCAGACGCATGCTCTCCGAGTCAAACGCCTCGATCTCGTGAGCCTGACGCTCCAGCAAAGTCCGGATTCGTTCCGAGCGTTCGTTCTGCAGGGAGAGCATCTCCTCCTCAATCTGAAAGACAACAGACGCAGTGTCAGCACCGGGGACGAGGGATGTCCTGATCCGATCACAAAGATCGTAACAAAGCATTACTTAACAGATCGGTATCAGCCTTAAACTCAGCCTGATGCTGAGACATACTTTGTGACAGGACCTTAGGGATGCTTGTTTTTTTTAAATAGCTTTTTAAAATTGATCAACGTGTTATCAATCCAGAATGAATTAATCAATAACATAAATGATGTACAGAGGACACAAGTGAACCGACACATGATACAGTTAAATATTCCAGTGTGATCCAGAAATTTTAAGCTATTTGATCCCAGTTTGTCTTGAACACATGAGCTCCATTCAGAACTCATTAACCTCCACAGAAGTCTTGTCATGGTGCCCGTTGCCAGCTAAACCTCCAGAATGCTCTCTGCTTGCCAACATGAACTGCTTGTAGTTTGAGTTGCTACAGCAGTAAACAGTAAGAGGCTCCACCTGGTGGAACAACCAGGTACTACAGCTGATCTGAAACACATTTTCTGACATCCTCCTCCTACCCTCTGCTCCAGCAGCGCCCGGCGGATCGACACCCGCTGCTCCAGGTCCTTCACCTCCCGCTCGTGCTGGGTGTCGGTGTGGATCTTGATCTTGCTCTGGTAGGCGTTGAGCAGCTCCAGCTCCTGCTGCAGCTGCATCCTCAGAACCTGGTACTCGGCCTCCTGAGTCTCATCCAGCCGAAGCTGCAGGTGAAAGAGAACAAAACACAGTATCAGTAGAGAGAACATTTGAATCTACTGTCTGTTGAGTTTGATCAGATGTTTGTGAGTTTGCTTCTTTACATAATAAGACTGACAGATGTTGGATTTAACAGTAAAAAACACATCTATGTGTCTATGTCTGTATGTTGTCTTGACATTTCTCTGGTTTCTTTGAAAACAGACTGTAGATGAACGAGCGGTAAATGTTGATTCAAGTGTGTTGTTGCAAAAAATACATTGAATCATTAAAATAATTTAGCTTTGTCCCACTGGTCTGGTGTTTATTATTGAGTTTTTTCCTTGTATTCCAACTACAGCTGCAGTTAGCTAATTAATCAGCAGCTAATTAGTCTACAATTGTCAATATTTTTAGTCATTTTTCAAGCACCAGTGGAAGATTTTGAATTCTGGCAACATAGCATTTGAGCTGCAATCATTAATCGATGAGCTGTTAACGATTAAATTCATTTTAATAATCAATTTATCTGTTTCTGTCATTGTTTAAGGAAAATTCAGCTTCTTAAATGTGAATATTTTCTAGTTTCTTTCCTCTTTTTAGATGGTAAACTATAAATTGTTGGGTTGCGGACGAAACAAGACATTTATCATCTTGGGCTCTGAGAATTTTAGAGACAAAATAAGTAATTGATTAATCCAGAAAATAATCAAGATAAGCTGTTCAATAGTTCAGTTCTATACAATATCAGAATACAAATAAATAATAAAAAAGGCCTCCTACAGTTGACAGTATCCAAAATCATATAGTCAGAATGCTTGTTTTTTCCATTTATGATCCAAAAGAAGAACATTTCTCCTTTGTATGACAAATATACCAGAAAGCTGAAACAACAAACTGAGGATTCAAAGAACAGAGAACCGTTGAAATCTGCATTCTTTACTCGTCATTTTCTCCTTTTCTTTAATCTGAAAACTAAATGAAACCGTAACATACATTTGTAGATGCATGCAGTTTTGTTGGTGATGTGTTCACTGTGTGTTTGTGTCATGGTGCGTTCAGGTGCAGTGCTCCAGGTGTGGTGGCGGTGCGCGGTGGTTTCCTTGCCTTACTCACAGCCTGTGTGGACAGCATGTCGTTGATGGAGTGGTCGTACTGCTCGGCCAGGATGGCCAGCTTACGTGTTTGCTCCTCTTTGAGGCGTTTGAGGACGGCCTTGTGGTCGGATTTTGGAGTGCTCTCCAGCAGGTGGTTCCTCAGCGCTTTGTACTGGCGGGTCTGGATCTTACAGGTCTCCTGGAACTGGCGTTTAATCTGCAGCTCTTTGGACTGAAACAGAGTCAGAAGAAGTCAGAGGAGACATCCAGCAGCAGGCTTTAGGTTCAGTTATGAGCTCTCCTTCGTACCTTGAGGCTCTTGGGCTGCTGCCGGACCTCCATGGCGTGTTTCTGTCGAAGCTCCTGCTCACGCCTCTTGTTGTACTCCATCTGGTTGGTCAGTTCGGTCTGGTGCTGCGTTCGGATCAGGTCGGCTCTGGTTCTCTGCACCGAGCCCAGCTGCCTGAACTCCAGCTCCTGCGTGGACTCGTGGTGTCGCAGCAACATGGCACATTCCAGGTCCTTCTGGGTCTGCTTCTTGTTCAGGTCCTGGAGGAAAACACAGATCGCATCACATCTCTGAGTTAAACCACCTGAGATCTGCTTCTGTGGTTATCATCAGACAGTACGATGGAAACGGTGACATCTTCACAGGCTGCCATGAACTATTTTTCTATCATTTAATCTGAATGACTAATTTTCCTACAACAAAGTAATTATTGACTGGGACAAACTGTGTGTGATTGTATAAAGCGACACCGACTGTCTCCAACATGATGAAAGTAAAGACAGGAAGAGAGACTATTATTTCAGTCAGTGGTGTAATTCCAAAAGAAATCACAGTTAAAGCCTTCAAAGTGAAAAAGTTCCGTCTGTCTATTAAACAAAGATGAATGAATGAATGAATGAATGAATGAATGAATGAATGAATGAATGAATTTTATATGTTAATATTTTTGTCTAATAACTTTTCTAAACTTCACTCTCTAATGTACAAAAAACACAATTATGACTCTTATTATTTATTACACTGTATACTGTATATTTTTTTCTACTCATACTTATATTTTTAGGACAAATTTTTCTATGTATGTTTATTTTTTCTGCTGCTTAAATTTCTACGACTTTGAATCGGAGCAGCTGCAACAAGCTCTGGGATCAATAACGTATTTCTGATTCTGATTAAACCAAAAACACTAAATAATGAAAACCGCCTCAGCTGTGTACTGAGGACTGAGGAACCTTCAGACGTTACCTCTCTGAGCAGGTCCTGCTCCAGGTTGTGTCGCGCCAGCAGCATCTTCCTCTTGTACTGGCGACACTGCAGCTCGTAGTACTGCCTCTGCCTCCGCAGCAGACTGGCCTCCTCCTCGGCCTGCATCTGCTGCAGACACTCCTTCTGGCGGATCAACCACTCCTGCTTCTCACGCTTTGGAGTCGACTGGTTCTCGCTCAGCTCCTGGTGGGAAAAACAGAGGAGGCCTGACATGAACACCTGAAGACGACCGTTCAACACAGGTACATATTATTCAAGGTAGAACGTTATTAATGCAGAAAGAAATTCTAGTGGAAGATATTGCTCAGAAAAAAACTGATAATGTGAAAATAAATGCAGAGTTTTATAGAAAAGCAACAAGATATTTAGTTAGAATAAAAAATAAGTTAAATTATACTGAAGCAGACGGTAAGCAGTCAAACTGGAAATGACTCTGAAGTAGTGAATACTGCACGATGCTAAACCTGATGAAACGGCACAAACTATTGAGAAAGTCATATTCCAAATGATAAGCAATAATCTTTTAAATAAATAAAGCATTTTTTTCCCTCATTTCTGCCGTTGTAACTGTGTCATTACAGCACAGCAGACATTTCTGAGTTCTCTCTCCGTCTTCATGGTTCCATAGATGTGCAGGACTTCATTTTACAGTGAGAGTGAGGAACAGCGTACCTCTTTGAGCTGCTCTTTGCGCTGGCGATACTGGCGCTTCTGTGACTCCAGTAAACTGGTCAGTTCCTTCTTCTGTTGGCCCAGTATGTGCTGCTGGAACTTCTTCTCTTCTGCCAGAGCTGCTTTCGTCTGCAGGACGACACAAAAAAGGATTTTTATAAACCGTCCATGGTTGATGGTGATTTGCAAAGATGTCAAAAACACAACAGAGAAATGTCCAGTTTCATTGTTGAACATTAGAACTCCTTTACACTGATGACAACAAACACCTAAATGCTGCACATACAAATCACTGAGCTCAGCATCTTCATATAAATTCCACTGATGTAAAAACTACCACCACTCCGTCTCACCTCCTTCTCCAGGATGGCCTGGTGTTTCTTGGCCAGCTTGTCAGCCTCCGTAGAGAAGCTGTTCCTCTGGTTCTCCAGCTCCTTGTCCAGCTTCAGCTGATGTTCGTCCATCTCCGCCTTCAGCTTGTTCTCCAAACCCATCAGCTGCTTCTGGTGCTGCCGCCTCATTCGCTTATAGCCGGACATCTGCTCTCTCAGCGCCGACCCCTGCTCGTGCTCCTGGATCTGACGGGTCACCTGGAGGAACCGATCATGTCAGTACCTGCTCGCATTTATCTCTGAGTGCAGGATTTATGTGTTCATAATCACATAAAGCAGAGAAACCTCCAGACCTCAGTAAAACTTCAGAAATCTCTCTGAACATACCGACTTGGTGTCACCACGTCTAGTTTTAAAGACCCTACAAATGTTTACCTTCTGTCACAATCAGATGTGAGTAATATCTGTAAAATATTTTTTGAGATAAAATTGAGACGAAAAAGGCAAAACTACAATCATACACGGTTCAAACAAGCTGCTAAAAATAAGAATTTCAAAAATACATTAATAAATAAAATGAAATGTTTTAAATAAAAAAATGAATTTTTTGTTGAATTTAAAAAATCTGAACTCTTAATATATATGAAAAAATCTTTAAAAAATGTAAAAAAAAATTATATTTATATATATTTTAAATAATGAATAAAATGCAAATTTTGCTGGATTTTGTCTTTAAAAGTTTAGCAGTTAATTAAAAAACTAATTAAAAATGAATATGGTAAAAAAATATATTTTTAAATAATTAATAAAAGTGCATCGTTTTGGATTTTATTTTTAAAAAGCCTAACAGTTAATTTTTGAAAAATACAGCATTTGGCCACAATAACCAGCAAACAGCTGTTTAAAATTCTCATCAGCTCGTACCAAAGACGCGGTGCGGATGGTGGCGAAGTGGTCGCGGTTTCGATAATAAGCTCGACGTCGTCCGGCTGAAGGAGCCTGAGGCTGATCCATCTCTGGCTGGTAGGGGTCATCGTAGATGTTGTCCTGACCCTGAGGAGGAGGAGGAGGAGGAGGAGGAGGAGGAAAGATTCAATCACGTGGACAAGAATAAAACCAAATTCAAATGGAACTGAGGGAAAAAAGTCAATCTTGCTTAGTTTGCCCATTCTGTTGTGTAGAACGGTCTGACCAAAGTGTGAGATAAATTCATCTAATATGCTGCAGAAAATGAACAGACTCTAGATGGCGACCATTTTTTGAGAAGAAAAAAAAAAAAGATCACACTCGTGTTTTAAAAGGCCCAACACTGAAGGATGAGAACCTACCAAGGGATTAACAAATGAAGTATTGTCATAGCTGGTTATTTTAAAAAGAAAAACAAGAGGTTCAACTCTGACGTCACTGAGGAATTTTGAAAACGGTACCAGGCACAAAATGGCCGCCTGACATGAGCAGCTGGACCCGGTGGCTGGGTTCTGGTGTTTACCGTGGGCCGGTGGATGATGGAGCTGTTGGAGGTGACGGTGTGCTCGCCCTCCTGCATCATGGCCATCTCGCTGCTGCTGTCGTCGGAGGCGTCGGCCAGACTGTTGACCGAGCTGCTCTGAGAACTGGCTGAAATGGACATACTGGGAACGGACTGGGAGCTCTCCATGCTGTTAACAGTGCCGGTCTGCAGCAGGTACTGCTCCACCTCCTGAAACATACAAAATAACGTCAACAATCATCTTCCTTTTACTTCCCTTGGTCTCCTGCCCGGTTCTACCTCCTCACCTCCTCGTCCTCCCCGGCCTCCGACACCGGCCCGTTCTGCTGCGTCTCCTGGAACAGGATCTTCTTCATCTTGCGGTACTGCAGGTTGTCCAGCTCCCTCACGGCGTCCTTGGTCCGAGCGATCAGGTCCATGATGACGGTCAGCGGACGCTCGCGGCACAAGAAGCGATGCTGCAGGATGGAAATAACAGTGAGTCGGCAGCAGAGGAGGGTAACGTTGGAGTGTTAGCGGACGAACGTCGGCGCTCACGTTCAGCAGCACGTCCGAGGTAGGCCGGTCCTGGGGAATCTTCTGTAGGCAGGAGTCCACGAAGTTACGGAACGAATCAGACCTGCAAGAACAAAAACAAACCGGATTGTGACGAGACAGGATCTGGCACAACCAAGGAGCTGCTTTCCTTTAAAGATAATCAACACTTTGATTTAGCTTTTCTTCCTCTGAACACCAACCCCCTCCCCAGCAGGGTTTCAATTTGACTTTACAATCAGAACGGCTGAGTCAGCGCCTGTTTAAAAAGCTTCTAAAGTGTGTTATTATATCTTTTAAACGGTCATGACACCTTTTATCAGGCAGAAACTTGCAAAAACAGAATGAATCATCAGAGTTTCAGCTTTCTCACTGAACAGAAGATGTAGGAGAAAGAAAGCAAGTTGAAGTTTAAAACTGTAATGTTTCATCATAAATCACTTTATTCTACGTGTCTCATTTAACAATATTAATCATATCTGGATTTTTGTTCTTGTGGGAAACACATGGACACTGTTGACTCAAGTTTTTTTTTTTTTTGCAAATTAAATTTTCAAAGATCTTTCAAAGTCTTGCCCAAGGACACTTTGACTGTGGAGGGGTGGGGGATCGAACCTTACGATCAGAGGACAACTCGCTCTACCACCTGAGCCACAGCCGCCCTATTATATGTTATCAGATATTAAAATCAATAACAAAAACCCAGTTCAGTATCTCCAGAAGTGAGACGGTTTACACTCACCAGTGGTTGGACTGCAGGATGGGACTTTCATTCTGAGCGATGTGGTATAAGGCACTCATTGCATTCATATTGAACAGTGGCGGCTTCCTCTCGGCTGTGGGACAAACAAAACAGTTCAAACTTTTACCATCACAGCATTTTAACGTCCACGCAGCAGAGCAGAGTCAGACTCGGTCGTACCCAGCTCGATGCAGGTGATTCCCAGAGACCAGACGTCCACTTTCCCGTCGTACTGACCCTCGTCCATGGCCAAGATCACCTCTGGAGCCATCCTGGAACACGGCACAGAGGTTTGAAAAGGCGCAAAATGTTCACAATGCACAGGTTAAACGCGGTGATGGTGTCGAGAGCTGGTTGTGAAGTCTGACAGGAGCTGCAGTTCATAGAACACTTGTGTAAATCAGTCGGTTTCATCATGGCTAAATTTGACATTAGAACACCTTCGTTAAATGTCTGTGAAGATTCTCAGTCATCCAGGTCATGGTTGTTCTGGTAGATTAATCGTAGCAACTGGACTTGCTTGAGTTCCTTGAAGACTTCTCACCTCTCATCCAAGAGGCTTCATCAGTTCTGACCGACCAGTTGGTGTTAATGGCTCCTTAAGAATATAAGTATCTGGAACTCCCAACTAGTCAGTCAGAACTGATGAAGCCTCTTGGATGAGAGGTGAGAAGTCTTCAAGGAACTCAAGCAAGTCCAGTTGCTACGATTAATCTACAAGAATTACCTTAGTTAAATGTTTTCTAACTTGTTTTTGGTCTCACAACTGTCTGAGTGAACTGCAGCTGCCTGGCCAGCTTCTACTGTCGTCTGCACGTGAGACGTTCAGGGAACATCTGTAAATCGTAGTGTCTATTGGTAAGCAGGTGTCCAGTTTTTAGTAGTAAAATCAGACAACGTCATCACGTTCTGATTAAAATATCTTGCAAGTTTGCATCAAAGCAAATCTATGGTAGATGATTCTTCATAACAGTCGTGGCGATGCTGCACCATAATAACCAGTTCTACCAGTGGGAGGCCGATCACTCACCAGTAGGGCGTCCCCACGAACGAGTTGGCCGGAGCCACGATGGAGGCCGAACCGAAGTCGCCCAGTTTGACCTGACCGGGCTCCGTCAGCAGAATGTTTCCCGCCTTCACGTCCCTGCAGGAGATGATAGGAGGAGTTTTTATGCTCGTGCAGAATGAGCAGTGACATGAAAAGAGAGGCTGTGCTATAACAATAAGACATAAAAGAACATCCTTAAAAATAACAACAGAAACACTGAGGTCTGTCTCTGGATTTACACCTTAAACCTCGATAACTTTATGATGAACATGAAGCTGAACTAACAGGGAGGTTCTAGTGCAGGACTCTTAGATTCATTAGCTTTAGCTGGCTGCTACAATAAATGCAGTCTTATTTCTCCTGGATAAAACCTGCTGTATCAAATCTGGTCTTTTCTACCAGCTGTCTGGACCCAAGAACCTACTAGCAATTCAACTTCATTTAATTTAATCTACAAAATCTGGAAACACTGACACTTATCTCACATGTGATTTTCTACTAGATGATATTTAATCATCTCCTACTGTGCTTCATTAACTGACGTCCTATTTACTATTATCTGTATTTTACTGGAACTTAAATGCACTTTTGCAGGACTTGTGTTGCATGTGAGGCGCCAACGCAGAAAATGAACAAACCTGTGAATCATATTGTGAGAGTGTAGATATGCTAATCCCTGCAGTGCACCGTGGGTAATAGCAGCGATTTCTACTTCCTGGAGCGGCTTTTTGTGAACTGCGAGGGGGGAGAAAAAAAAAAAAGAGGGAAAATTCAGAGTCACAAAAATACGCAACAACATTTATTATCATTAAGTTTGAAAGACTGAAAGCGTAGCGCTGACCTTCGAGGAGGTCTGAGGCCGAGCCGAGGCAGTACTCCATCACCAGCTGAGGAAACGGCACAGATGTTTGGCAGATGTTATAGCAGGAAATGAGCTTTTACACACACACACGTATACATTTTTATTACATTTTCTCATTTATTTGATGTATTTAACCCTTTACGGGGCAGATGACCACATTTGGTAACTTCCTTGGATGTTCAATACGTCCACCCTGTGCCTCTCCTGGAGGTTGAAGAACCATGTGCACTTTGGTTTAGTTTGTAGATTAGTGCCAATATCACTACCTTACGAAGAATGTCACTAAGTGAACTTGCCAAGCACTTTATAAATCCTTTGTTACTGGTTGTGTGAGGATCATTACCTCAAACTAAAATGTTTCTAAATAAATGTCTTTTGCAGTTTGTTACTTTTTCTTTTATTTATTATAAATTCCCTTTTTTTACCATGTTACCATTATCGAGTCACGACTGTAGTATTATATGTTTTACTCCACACTTTTGCAGCAGTAAAAACAGTTCTTTTTATATGTATATGTGTGTGTGTGTGATATAAAACACGTATTAAGGCAGGAATAAGAGCATCAGTGATTTTAAAGAAGAACTGAAACTATTTCAGTCAGCAACAAGTTTGAAATTCCAAACAATCAAGAATTTTCAGTTTCTTAATAAATATTTAGCTACTCTTAAAATGAGGATTTGCTCCTTTGTCCTTGTATTTATTCATTAGACAAATCTTATTTAACTTAACTTGTAACAGACATTAATTACACAACATTTTGAGGCCACAGAGCTCCAGTTTGTTCTTTAGTCTCTGATATAATTCCTGTACACACAGATTTTGCAGCGATCCGGTACGTACCCATGCCGTGTGTTCCTTCAGGTAACAGCCTCGATACTCGATGGTGTTTGGATGACGAAGCTTCTGCAGGAACTTCACCTCTTTGATGATGTCCTGCCATTTCTGCGCAGCAAACGCAACAACAGTCAGTTTCTCAGCACATTTTACAGACGTGTTGTTGCGACTACAGGAACATTTGACAAACTGACAGGCATCGTTCAGAAGAAGTGAACATTTTCTAACAGTCAGTCCGCTGACGAGGAGGATGTTGGCAGGTGCAGTTTTATGAACTCGTGTTTGCTCGTCACTCAGGCATAAGAGACGACAACGCAAAGGTTTTGTAATCTAGGACATTTGAAATGAACCATCTGAACCTGCAGGTGAGTTTAAAATTCACGGTCTGGTTCTTCTGTTTCCATAAAGGTGCAGCACTTCACATGATATTTGTGTGACATAGATAATATGCATGTTGTTACCTCGTTGGTCTGCTTGCCGCTGTAGGACATTTTCTTGATGGCCACCACCTCATTGTTTCGCACATCTCGGGCCTGTTGGACAAAACAAACCATTTATCAGCACATGTAGTGAAGAGTCACTGAGAGAAAACAGGTTCACAGGTCATTAGAAAACATTTTAAAGCTTCATTTATTCTGGGAAGTTTCCTGGGAACCCTGTTTAGCAGAAACGCTGAGTCTAAACCCAGTCTGACAAAATCCATCCATCCATCATCTATACACCACTTAATCCTCACTAGGGTCGTGGGGGGCTGGAGTCTATCCCAGCTGACTTAGGGTGAAGGCAGGGGACACCCTGGACAGGTCACCAGTCTATCACAGGGCTACACTTAGAGACAGACAACCAAGCACACTCACATTCACACCTACGGACAATTTAGAATCACCAATTAACCTCAGCATGTTTTTGGACTGTGTGGGAGGAAGTCGGAGAACCTGGAGAGAACCCACGCTGCACGGGGAGAACATGCAAACTCCACACAGAAAGATCCCGGGTGTCCTCACTGGGATGCGAACTGGGGATCTTCTAGCTGCGAGGCAACGATACTAACCACTGCTCCACCTTGCAGCCTCAATGATTATATATAATAAAGTTGATGTTTGTTAAAAGTGTAAAGAAAATGTTAATGGATTTAGTCGAACCCTGAAAACTAGACTTGTAATTAGAAATAACTTCAGCTACTCGCAAATGAATGAATCAATGATGCAAATGATTTGATATTAAATTAAGATTGGATCCGATAAAATCAAATCTGACTCCTGACCTTCTTTGCGAGGATTAGCTTCTTACTGCAGCTGTTCAACCAGATTCCCTCCAGGTTTCATGTGTGTAAAAGATGATGATTTAGATTTTTTTTTGAGATATTTGGACTTGAAGGTCACTTTGTGCAGGTTCAGGTTTGAGTGAAGTCAAAATAATTTGGAATAATTATGTCTCTGCACTGCACATGTGATTATGATCAAGAATTCTGTAGAAATCAGGTTCCTCTAATCTCCTATCCTGATTACACAAACTGCTCTGTTTACATTAAGAAATCAGCTTAGTGCTGAAAGCCGACTGTAACCCGGTTAATGTGGGCAAATAAACGACTCTACTCTTTGATTTAGAACCTTTATTACAGGATTTTCTCTCAGTGTCTCCTTGAATTGCTGCTTTTTTGGTTTCTCTGTATCAACAACCAACATTTCAGATCATCGAAAATCAGACCCTAACTGGTTTGTGTTTTATTAGTTAATAGTTAATCGTGTGCTGGATCACCAGCTGATATATTTTCAGAACTCAGATGAACATGTGAAGCTGCTCTGCTCCCAGTCTGTCCTCATCATTTCAGTAGAAAATACAAAAAGATGCAAAACCATTTCAAAAAGACACTAAAGTACCTCAAAAAGATGCAAAATCCCTACGTAAAGATGCGATAGGACTAAAAAAAGATGCAAAATCACCTTAAAAAGGCACAAAATGACCTCAAAAAGATACTAAAATACCTCAAAAAGATGCAAAATCCACACGTAAAGATGTGATACGACTAGAAAGAGGTGAAAAATCAAATCAAATCAAAAATCACCTCAACAAGATGTTAAATCTCAACAAAAAGTCACACAATTCTCACAAGAAGATGTAAAAAAAAAAAACACCACAGAAATGCAAAATTGCCCCAAAAAGATGCAACTTCACAGCAAAGAGCCAAAAATCGTAACACACAGGCAGGAAACATCCATGAGACGACACAAAATCACCACAAATGTCTGCAAAATCACCAGAAAGACCTAAAATGACCACAAAAACATATGAAATGACCAGTTGATGGTTTTATTTTTTAGAAATGATTTAAATATATGCAGCTGCTCTGTGATGATTTAATGCTGTTTAACACCAGCTGTTTGGGTTGATGTAGAATTCATTTATAATTTAATAAGAAATTAAAGATCACCACAAGAAGATGCAAAACAAATGATAAACTGATGATGTATTAAGATGATGTGCACAAATAAATGACTGTAGCTCTCATTTTATCTGTAAACTGCTGGGTTTTTTTTTCGGTTTCTCCGTCGTCTTTTTGTCTACCGTGATTTAAGAACCGACAGAACCATATTTCATCACCGCTGCTGTGGAAAAAAACAAACCTCTCTCCACCTTTTCCCCACTTGGTGGAGCTAAAACATCGACGCCTTCCACGAGCCCAGAACAGACACGAACACAGCGATCCGTTCGCCGGGCGAAAACCACATCATTTATTTCTGGATCAAATATTTTCTCAAAGCTATTCAAAGTGCTTAATCCTCCAATGGGCTTAATCCTAAATCCAGCTGAGGATGCTGCTAACAGACAGCAGACGTAGCGACGGCGCAGACTGTAAACAACTAAATCATGCATCAATATCAGCTCGACTGTAAATAATTCCTGAAGTCAGCATCGAAATACGGAACAATCTGATGTTTTAAAAGGATCACTGATGCTGTAAAGGATCATTAAATCCCCCCTTTTTTAATAGAAATACAGTAGAAAGCTTGTTAAACTGATGCAAATTGATGCACAGCTTCTATTTCTGCAGCACATCTCTGATGGCCTTTTAAGGATCCTCTGAAACTCAGACGTTCAGTGGCAGCGAGAACACTGTGGAGGTGTTAGTCTACCACACAGCCGCAGGAATATTTTACAGGTGAAATGAGATGTGCAGCCACAGAACAGACATTCGTTGTGTTGCCACTGTTTTCTAATTAGGTGCAGAGATTTTTTCTTTTTTTTTTTTTCAGGCTCACAGTTTCTTTATTAATGACAAACGCAGATGAGACACAAAAAAACCCACACAGATGAACACGATTACTGCTCAGGCCTCCTCACTTCCAGAGAAATGCTCCAAAAATCAGATAAACATCTCGGCAATCTGATTTGATCCAGCGTAATGTCTGCACGCATCACGCTGTTGCTTTATACCTGCACACAAAACAGGAAATTCTCATTGCGTGTTACTGTCAGAGAAAAGTTATTATTTTTGGCATCTACCTGCTAACACCCACGCATTTTCATACGTTAGACTGGTTCAACCGTTCGAAGAGTGCCAGGTCGAAATTAATAACTGAACATTTAGTGGGCGTCGACTACAAGTTATTCATGTCAAAGGAGCTGTCAGTGTGACTGCATCTTATGTAAACTTTGCAAAATAAATCAACAATATAGGACACAAAACAACCAAAATATGTGGCACGAGATGACCACAATGGGGCAAAAACAATTGTAAAAAGATGCAAACGACCACAGACACACACAAGAAGTCACAAATGTGCCACATTACTGTAACGGAACAAAAACAACTATTAAAACACACAAGATGAGCATCAAGAGACACACAATGAATGTATGTGAGATAAAAAGAAGATGGAAAATGCCCACAAAAAGACAAAATTGGAATAACCTATTTAATGTTTACTGATTTTAAAGTGGACTGCAAGGTGGCTCGGTGGTGGTTCGCACTGTTAAGTGTAGTCCTGTGATAGACTGGTGACCTGTCCAGGGTGTCTCCTGCCTTCACCCTGAGTCATCTGGGATAGACTCCAGCCCCCCATGACCCCAGTGAGGATTAAGCGGTGTATAGATAATGGATGGATGATTTTAAAGAAGTCGTTCGTGTGGCTGTATTTTGTTCAAACAAATTGACAAAAAGTTGAGTGTTAACTTCACAACCAAAGAAAAGATATAGGACACAAAATGGCCAAAAACAAAAAAGAATGGCTATAAGTAGATGCAAAACAATCACGATGTAACACAAAGGGACCAAACATGGACAAAAACAACCATAAAGGGATTCAAAACAACCACAAACAGACACAAAACTAACAATATGGGACCAAAAAACCCCACAAAGTGACAACAAGACGACGTAAAATGAATGAAATCAAACTCAAAATGTTCCAAATGCACCACAGAGTGAGAAACAAAATAAAAACAACCATCAAATTTTTTTTTAAAAAGCAATAAAAGACACAAAATTACTATAAAGAAAGTTTTCTGGGAGTCAACTTTAAACTGATTGATGTCAAACAAGTCGTCAGTGTTTCTGCATTTTGTTCAAAAGGTGGAGTTTAAACTTTACAAACAGCAGTTTGTGTATCGAAGCTCAGCAGCCAACATGTCAGATCATCTACAGACAGCAGCTAACTTGTCTCTGTTGTATTCCTCAACAGTTCTTGTGCCGGCTTGCCAGTTGATATATTTTCAGAAATCATATGAATGTGTGCAGCTGCTCTGCTCCCAGTCTGTTCTCATCATTTCAGTGGAAAGTACTAAAAGCTGAAGAATCACCCACGATAATACACAGAAACTCCACAAAAAACCATCATGAAGAAATGCAAAAGTGCTACAAAAAATGCAAAATCACCAGTTGATATAGTGTATTTGAAGAAATCATGCACAGATGCTCTGCTGCAGTTATTTCTTATCATGACACTGATTCAGAGTCTATTATAACGAAGCCACTTCATTTAAAAGGATTTCTGTTACTGAATAATATCTAGCTGCCTCTTAACTCAGCGCTAGCCGTTAGCGCTGGCTGTGTGCCTCGTTCAGTTTTTGCGTCTGTCAGTTGAAGAGAGTGTTACAGGTAATCTGACTTTAGAACGATGTCATGCTACTCCAAATAGAGCTGCCACATGCTACGAGGCGCAGGGCAGCAGCAGCATCAGCAAAACAAGTTCTAGTTACCTTCAGCAGTGTCTGCTAACTCACATTCCAAAGTACAGCTCAGCTAATTTAACAGAGCTGCGACATACTGCTAACGTGCTCGTCTGTGTCTCTGTGTAAACAATAGCTTTCAGTGTTGATTGGCCGTTACTCGTGACGTGTAACCAATCAGATGGAGTTGTAGGCGGGACATTGCAGAGACCACAGACACCCCTTTTCCACCAAGAAGCACCAGGTGCTAGTGCCGAGCTGGTGCTAGGGCCAGTGCTTAGTTGGTTCCAATCTAAGAATCTGCTTGCTTTTCCATCGGCAAGGAGCCAAGTTAGAGCCACACCATACGCCACTGCATACGTAGCCGTTTACAAAACAACGCTCGCACCACACAGAAGTCCACACAGGACTCCAGACTAACTTTTTCACCAGTGTGACCAACTTTCTCATTTGGTCGCACTTCCCACCTTGTCACAGGCAAAACATATGACTTGCTGGACATTTTCTTGTCGATAGACGCTACAATTTACGATGTTCCCTTAACGCCCCACATTGCAGGCTGCGGCAGCAGCTGTTGGTGGCCGCGGTGCTCAGACCGGTGTGCGACCAAAGATGACTTTAGAAAGAGTAAACCAGGGCGTTCTAATGTCAGATCTGTTCAAGATGAAACCGAGTGATTTGTTTCTCATGCGGTCTTTTCTATGAGCAGAATAAAGAGCGCACATAGGTGCACTCCGTTTTTCACAAGAAGACAGCCTTTCTAAGCGTAAATACTGCAGTACATCAAAGTAATAAAAGTACTGCTATTGGTAGGACACAGTTGTACCGGCTTTCAGTGTGCAACAGTTTGTGAAGAACTTCCGTGTGTCCCTGGACTCATTCCAATACATCTGCGATCAGACCAGGGACGTCCTGGTGAAAACAACACACATCACAGCTTGTGTGTCCCATTCATTCATCGGTCTCAGTGGTCACGATAACCCCGCCCCCAGCCCCTGACGTACACAGTGCTTAGCTCTGGCCCAGCAAAGAGTTGGTGATGGCTAAGCACCAGTTTTGAGAGCCTGGAGCCGGTGCTTAGGCGGTGGAAACACAAAGAACTGGTGCTAAGTCAGGCACAAGCACGGAACTAGCGGTTTGGTGGAAAAGGGGTAAGAGTGACTACAGAGAGAGAGGAAGCAGAATCACAGCCGAAGTAATTCCAATAATTTATTTGTTTGGTCATCAGTTAATAAAAATAACGATACTGATGATTGGAAAAATCTAATCAGGATTTAGCAGCACATTGAGGTTACACTGCACAGACTGTGGATGGACACTGATGTTGTTCAGGCTTCTGCTTGTTGCTTTAAAGCAACTGTAAACTCTATCATTTCTTCCATCCAGAAAAGCATGTTCTCTGGATTAGTTCTCAACATGTTGCTACCACAACTTTCCATCAACTGAAAAGGGATTAGGGTGAAATAAAACACTGCCCGAACAAACATCTGCTTTCATAAAGTAGATGGAGTTCACTCACAAAGTACACCGCTCCGAAGCTGCCGTGGCCGATCTCTCGGAGGTCAGCGAAAAGCTTCTCCGGATCATCTTTGCAAAAAAGATCTGCCACCTCGGGGTCCTTCAGATTGCCCGCCCGTGCATTCGAGGGCATGGCCAGGGCCTGGAATGAAGACAGAGCACAGGTCAGTACTGGGAGAGACAAAAATTACTCAGGGTAAAGGTTAAAACATGGCTTCCACATCAAACAGCTTCTTTTGTTGTTGATTTTTTTCTTTTCTGGCTCATTAAAAAAAAAAACAATCTGTCAGATTTTTCACTGGAGACGTGTTCTGAAATGTGAGGATCTGTCTGTTTCACATCACTCAGTGAATCTCTTCAACTTTTGAACTCCTTCTTCTGTGTTTACAGACATCTCTGCAGCATCAAAAACATTAATAATTTTGATTGATGTGCTGAAGAACTTGGCATCACACTTGGAGTCACAGCAGGTTAAAATCTGGCTTTTTGAGTTCCGGTGGAGGGGGACCACCCTCTGGTTTATATTTGGATCATGGACTGGGTGCCCATATTGTTTCTAAAGGATGCAAAGCGTCTGTTTTCCACTTCACTTGTGCAGAAAACTGTCTAATTAATGTGTTAAACATGCTGGA